TGGGGTGTGATATTCATTCAGCTCAGTACACAGGTGGCTGCCCAGGGCTCTTGCACTGGCCTCAGTATTCTCTGAGTTTCCCACAAGCCTCTTACCCAGTTCCATAACCTCCAGCCTCCTGGGGAGTGACATTAGCTGCAGCAACAGCAGGTGGGTGACTGCTGAGCCCAAGGGCAGCTCCACATCTCCAGGGTTTATTTAAGAAAACCTGCATGTGACCTGTCTCTGCTAACAGTGGTTCTGGAACAGATCTTCGGTATTTGCATAGATTGCTGAAGATGAATTACCATCTGCCTTGGCTTTAAATTAACTGGGGGCAGTTCTAACCCAGAGAGAATGGGGAGCCAGGAAAATGGAGTTGATTTGGGGCTTATTTCCATTTTGAAAGGCATTTAGAAGAAGTAAGGGGGTTACGGGAGGGGTGTGTTCTGTGAACCATGAAGTAAAAGGAAGGAATTGACTGTAAAACTGAGGGTTTGGTGAGAAATTATTCTTCGGAAGTGCTGCCTCTGCTGTCACTCTTGGTAGAAAAGTGCAATTGGAGGCATAAGTGCCCTACATTTCCTTGTTTGACAGGGACTATCAAAATGTTTCAGGAAGTGTTTTCATATTCATGATTTTTATTTTCAAGAGATATCTTAATTTTCTTTTCTGTGTGTGCACACAATGTCAACTTCAAAGTTATGAGATTAAAAGCAGGCCTGACTACTTCAAGTTGGTTAAAACTGAACTTCATGTTCAAATGACTACAAATCTGTGCTTCTGCCTATATTCCTGAGCTCAATCACTTGCTCATCTGATTCAACCTGCTTGCCAGGAAAGATGCCCGAGACTCCTCTAATTCTCTCACAGCCTACGGCAAAGCTATTACTGATCTTGCTGTTGATTTTCTATTTCAAATAGACATTGAGCAAAAGAGGGAAATGTAAAAAACAGCTCCTGACACCCAGGGCTGGCCTCGATGTTATTAGGAGCTAATCTAACTCTAACAGCTGGCCGTGTTGTCTCCTTGGATACAACAATCTCACAGAACATCAGCATCTAACAAGGTCATTGAGACCCTGACAAAGTAACACAAAGACAAAATTACTGTGAAACCTATAAAATACCACACACTTACATCTCCCTGAGGTGAGTAACTACTGCTGTTTGACCAATTACCAGCTTTCTTATCTTGGCTCTGGTTTGCCCTCCCCATAGGTAGGCCATGGAGATACCCAGCTGTAGAATTGCACCCACTTTCTGACAGCATCCAACTTAGAGTGCACCCCCACTTCCTTAGTCTCTCCTCGAAGTCACACTTCCAAAGTCCAGATTTTCTGACAGTTCCTCTCTGACACCTTGTTAGTGAGCCGCCTTCTGGATCTCCTGGTATGTTTTTCTTCTTGTTGAAAAGAATAATAAGCACACTGATTGACCTGAATTGATGTGCTCTGGTGGACTTGGGCTGTGGAGAATTGACGCCATTCTCTCCTTGCTAAAATTGAATTTTGTCCTTCATCCTCACTAGCCTATGATTTTGCAACAACAATGTCGTGTATATTCTAGGTTCTTCCTCTCCCATTCTTCTTTCATGCTGTCTTGTGATTATCTCCTCTGCCCCCACCAGTGAATTGCATAAGGCTTTATTTATCAAACATGGGGCACAGAATACGATATATTGATAATATCAACTCCTAGCCAGGCATGGTGCAGTGCATACGTAAACCCAGCAAATTCTGAGTTCAAGGCCAACCTAGGCAACTTAGGGAGACTCTGTCTCAACAATTTAAAAGTCTGGGGATGTAGCAAGTGATAGAGTGTCTCTGGGTTCAATCCCCTGTACTGCAACAAACAAACAAAAACAGACAATATAAACTCCTAGATATATAAGGTGTCTTGACTGATGTGTTTTTTTTAACAACTACAAATATTCCTCTACATATTACATCTACTTTAAAAACACAATTCATATTATCTTTCATATACACAAAATTCTTATAATCAGGATTAGATAAATAGTTCCTCTGTATTATGTGGCTGACTGAGTGTTTGCCATGAAATTCACAGATGTTTAAATGCCCAATAAACACAAGACAATATATTCAACATTACTAAGCAAAGTGAATAAATAAATAAAAAGTTGAAATAAACATTAGATGTATTAAATATATATATATATATTTTTTTACTTTTCAGGTGGCAAAGGTTTCAATGAATACAAACCCAGAATAAAATTTGAAGGAACCCCATAGGAGGCTATATGGCTATATCAGTTTCTAGGGTTACAGAAACAGTGCCACAAACAGTGTGGCTTAAAACAACAGAAATGTATTGTCTCAGTTCTAGAGGATGGGTGTCTGAAATCAAGGCATCTGCAGGACCATCCTCCCTCCAAAAAGCGTGCAGGAAGGGTTGATCCTTTCTTGCTCTCTCCTAGCTCTGTTGATGGCTGTCCATCTTTGGTGTTCCCACTCTGAAGCTCCATCACTCCATTCTCAGCCTGTGTCCTCACGTGGAGCTCTCCCTGTGTCTCCTTTAAAGTTTTCCTCTTAGAAAAAGAATAATGATAATGTACAAAAATGGCAATTTGATATGGATTAATCTAACATAGGTGGGACAAAGATTTGCTAACAACATTGAACAGAATCAGAGACATCAGTTGGCCACATATTTTAGAAAATCTCAATATACATTATAAAGTCCAGCCGGGCATGGTGGCTGTAATCCCAGTGACTTAGGAGGCTGAGGCAGGAGGATTGTAAGTTCAAAGCCAGCCTTAGCAATTTAGCAAGGCCTTAAGCAACTTAGTGAGACCCTGTCTCAAAAAAATAAAATAAAATAAAAGGGGCTGAGAATGTGAATCAATGGTTAAGCACCCCAGAGTTCAATCCCCAGTACCCCCCCGAAAAAAAGTCCAAATTTACATTTCATTCTTTCCAAATTTCTTGCTTTCTCTCTATGCAGCCAGATAGATGGTATCAAGATATTAGATTTGAAATTGGAGGACAGTGGAAAGACTTCATGGGATTTTTAGGCCTAAGCTGTGTGTCTGGCTCAGGTTCACCGAAGGATTCTGGTTGGAGACTCTATGCAAGCAATAACTCTCCTTGCTCTAGCCACAGAGGGTGACTGATAACAAGGTTTCCTTCAATAGATTCCTGTTGCCTTTAAGATAAAGTTTCCAGCTCTAGTGGGTGACAGGTAAAGCTGGGTTTCACTGGGACCTCATTTCCCACCACCTCAACTCTACTATGGCAGAGAGAGACAGTGTTGACCAACTCAGATTCACCCTGTTCTTCCAGAATGTAGAGTTGTCCTGGGGAAAGACTCTGGCCAGGAACCCTATTTCTCAGTGCCTCTAGATGGGACCATGGACTAGGGTTTGAATGTGTCCCATGCAAGTTCACATGTTGGAAACTTAATTCCTGAATGAGGCCATGGTGGGAGGTGGAGCCTAGTGGGAGGTGTTGGGGTCATGAGGGCGGAGCCTTTATGAATGGATTCATGCCTTTCTGAGTGGGATAATGCTCACAATAAGTCAGTTCCTCCTCTGCAGGGACTGTATTATTTACACAAGAGTGGTTTGTTATAAAGCAAGGCTGTCTCATGGTTTGGCTCTTTCAGATGTGCCCACTTGCTCTCTGGATTTCTGCCATGAGTTGCAGCAGCCTGAGGCCCTCACCAGAAGCTGAGCAGATACTGGGGCCATACTCTTGGACTTCCTGGCCTCCGGTACCATGAACCGAAATAAACCTCTGTTCTTTATAAATCATCCTGTCTGTGCCAGGTATTCTATTTCAGCAACAGAAAACAGATTATGACACCAAGTAACTAGCTCTGACCAGTAAAACGCCAGTTTGATCTTGTGTCAGCACACAGGGGCCTAATACCACACTCTTTCTCTTCCCTCTGTTGGCTGGCTAGATGTGACCAGAGTGGCCCTTGAAGTCACAGACTAAATTAAGCTGCATCTCAGAGTCACCATTTACAAGAAAAAGGTCCTGAAGAATTGCCAGAGCAAGAACTTCTGCATTGGACCTGGCATGAACGAGACCGCTGAGAATTGGGGTGGTTTGTTATAACTGCACAGCCTCAACCCACCTTAACACAATTACATTATGAATCAAGCTGTTTCCTCTTTTTACCAAGTTGTTTTCCTTGACCTGGTCTTGCAGTCTTTATTCTCTCTACCTAGAATCCCTTCTCCCTTTTCCACTTAACTACAAAACTCAGATTGAGTGAAGGCTATTCCGAGATCATCTCAGACTTCTTCGGGCTGTTGGCTTCTGCCTCCCTCCTACTCTCTCTGTGCTTTGTACCATAGCCCCTTGTCAAAGCAGGATGGATGATATAATTATCTTCTTAAAAGGTTGTGGGCACTTTACTAAATGCAGGCATCCGGTCTTATTCTTGATGCTTCAAGCACCTGCAATAGTGCCTGGCCCCCCGTGAGAGTCCTCCATACATAGATTTTGGATTCATCAAAGCGTTTTGGGTGTGTGAGTGTCTCTGTGGTTTTGTCCCTTACTCAGCTGATTGTGCCAGATGGATCAGAGGGGCTGAGTTGCTGCAGATATATCCAGCTGGCTAGGCACTACTCTTAAAAATCAGTAAAGCACTTAAAAGAAATGCCTGGAGTAAAGAAATGGGCCCTTACCATTCATCTTTTGCTATTCAGCGAAGGTTACAGAAAAATGAAATGTTCTCATTTGCAGAATCTGTGTTTTTAACAGCTGCAGATCATGCTTAATGTGTGCTTTGCTTGCAAGACATTGGAAATTTGGATCTCTCCCAGAGTTCTGGCTAGAAAATTGCCAGCAATTTTTTTTTTTTTTTGCTTTTGTGTAAAATTTGAATTTTTTTTCCAACAGGAGAAAGGAACAACAAGTGGATAAAAAAAAAAAATCAGTTCTCACGAAATGGGAGGTGCTTTCATGGGAATGTTTTATTGTCTCTTCCCGAGTTTCTAACATAGCTTATAGAGTAGGAACACTGCTTTTGTACAAAGGGAATACTGTCAGTTGTGTGGGATCCTGTCACTCCGTAAGCTCCTCATGCTTTGGGGTTGCTGACTACTGCGGTGGTGGAGTAAGAGTAGGGACTGAGCAGAGCGGCGATGGTGTAGTGGCGGTGGCCAGAGTCGTTCGCTGTGAACACCACCTAGGGGAGAGGACAGACAGAGCTGTTTGTAACAGAGCCCAGAAGTGTGAGGCACAGTCAGAGAGATCACTGGAAATCCAGTGCAAAATTAATTATTTTTATTTTATTATCTCATTTTGGGGGAACAATTAGAATAAAAAGCAAAAATTCAAATACCCTGGCAGATTAAGCCTCTGGAGTCTTGTGCAGTTCTCAGAAATGCCCTTCAATAGGTGAATGGATAAAGAAACTGTGGTATATATACACAATGGAATATTACTCAGCATTAGAAGAGAATAAAATCATGGCATTTGCAGGTAAATGGATGGAGTTGGAGAATATCATGCTAAGTGAAGTAAGCCAATCCCAAAAAACCAAAGGCCGAATGTTCTCTCTGGTAAGTGGATGCTGATCCATAATGGGGATAGGAGGGGAAGCATGAAAGGAATGGAGGAACTTGAAATAGGGCAAAAGGGAGGGGAAGGGAGGGAACATGGGGGTAGAAAAGACCGTGAAATGAGATGGACATCATTACCCAAGGTACACTTATGAAGACACGAATGGTGTGACTCTACTTTGCGTACAACCAGAGAAGTGAAAAATTGTGCTCCATATGTGTGCTATGAATTGAAAGGCATTCTGCTGTCATGTATAACAAATCAGAAGAAAGTAAGTTTTCTACTGCCTGCATGATGAGTCTCTTGTTTTGCAATTCACCCCATAGTCTGGATGGCCCTTGCCTGACTGAGTGGAGTCACAGCCTAACATCCATTTTCTTGGCTTCAGAAAAAAGGTGAGGAGAAGGTGAACACCGGCATCCAGAGACTGGAGACCGGCTAAGAAGGTTGACCAAAGTCCTACTTTGAGAACTAGAAATTTGGATCGGGAGGAACTGTTTTTCCTGTTTTACAGATAAGCAAACCAGACTTCTGAATTAGTTTACCCAAGTTCATAAAATGACAGAGCCCCACCAGGAAGGCAAGTCTCATGTCTCCAAGCCCAGAGATTTTCTTTGTATTTAGCTTAGAAATTTAGATTCTCCCCCGCCCAGGGAAAAGGAACAAGTATATGTATATACCAAGGAATGGAATATGAACTAAAAGAATTCTACTTATAATAGAATTATAGAATTATAGAATTCTACTTATAATACAAAGAGATTGTGGAAAAGCCTATTGGAATTCTGAAATGTGTATGAATGCTTTTGAGCTTTCTGACTGGGCCAACTAGATCAAAGTGCTGTTATAATTCATTAGTCACACTTCTCAAAGTCACTGGAGTATCTGAGACTCAGGGGCTGGGTGGCCTAGGCGACAGGAGGGAGGGAAGTGGGGGTTGATTTGATTGAGGAGAAATCTGGAGGGCAGTAATGGGGTATTTAGTTTTACTTATTTTTGTATGCAGGCCCTGGGTTGAGTGTTTAATAGACTTTTTGTTCCAATCAAAGAAGACTGGAAGACTTGGAACAGGAGGAAAAAAATATCTGAGTGAACCATACCAAACATAAAAAGAACATTCAGGCAAAGAGAGGTGAGACTCTCCTAAGAATCTTCTTCTGAAGAAGAGAGGGACTCCTTCAGGTTCACCCTGGAAGCAACTAGGAAAAATTTCCTAACTTTTTTGGTGACAATAGCCTTTGGCTCTGTCTCCCTTAAAATTGTAAAAGGCATAGTCTTGTAATCAAAAATCCATGAAGTGAAGAGGCATATTAGTTCCATAGGAAATTTTCTAATTCTCCTCGGTAAGTCTAATATGGCTACCTGGGTCACTGGCCAGGAGGAGAAGACCAGCTCTGAAGGGCGGTGAGTCTCTGGGAGGTGCTTATCTGCAGGAATGGAGCTCATGGCTGAAGCCACTGTGCACTGTCCCTGGAGTGAGGTGTGAGGGACACATGCTTCACTACTCTCTTTCCCTCTTGCTCCCCTTTTTCTTTCAGGCTCCAAACTAGGCTTATGACTCTTCCTACTATGTCTAATATCATCCACTTCCCTTCCATTCCAAGAGCAGGGGGTGTGTTTTCATTTCTAAATCTCTGGTATCTTTGAGTGCTCAACACATACAGGATTTTATTTTTCAAATATTTGTTGAATGATCATTAAAGAGTGAATAGTAGCTGATATCTATTGAATAGGAGCAGCCCCTTCGTGGGCTGTATAGTGGTAAACCTTTTCACAACCTCAGGCTGTGACCCAGGGTGGAAGGGGCCCAGGGAGGCTAATCCAGTGCTGAAGGGTAGGGCTGAGAGCCTTCTGTGCTGTGCCCAAGCTGATCCCTGCACTCCCCTGTTCAAAAGTCTTGTCTTGCTGCCTGGCTGAGGAGTAGCCAGAGACATACTTCCTGGTAGAGGGGACTCCCTTGGTGACTTGTGGGCCCCAGAAGTCAAACAGTCACCTACAGTTTCCTTGGTAACACTGTGCTAAAAGAACTGTTCTGTGCTAATTGAAATTCTCAACCATGACTAAGCCAGAGAGAATGGTTGCCTTTCATGCTGAGCTATTTTCGATGGAATTACTTGATCTTTAACTCTGACCAACAAATCTGGATTCTATTTCCATGACAGCCATCTGTTTTAAATGACTTATGGAGTTCAGTCAAGGAGGTGGCAGGGAGACTGGGCCCATGTATAACTGCTGGTGGATCCTTACCTCATAAGGAAAAGAAGAGAATGAACCAAAGTTTACAAATATGGCTGCTTTTTCTTCTTCTTCTTCTTCTTTTTTTTTTTTTTTTAACTTGGCTTCTCACAAGAAAAAGGGTTCCTAAGGCAGTGTGAGGACATCAGAAGTGAGGCCAAACCCAGCCTGGCCCCTGCTGGTAAACAGGCCTGCTCCTCCACTTACTAGCCATGTGACTTTTGATGAGTCATGTAACCTCCCATGCTTCGCTTTTATCTGTGATGTGAGGATAATTGGACTGACCTTAGTGGGCTGGTCATGAGGTTGAGCTAGGTTAGTAGAAAACACTTACCATGGCGCCTGACACGTGATGTACACTTAGTGATTTTATCTATTGTGTTGCCATTATTAGTTTGAATTTATTGTCTTTCTATGCATTGCCAAGAATGGCTTATTCAAACCTCTGGGGAGCCAGATGTGTTTTGAATACAGCATTTCCCAGCTTTTAAGAGAAATAAAATGGTGCATCCTTTCTTCTGTTTACCTAACACCTTAAGTGAGGACGGGAGGGCTGCCTCATAATGAAACATTAATAATTCTTCAGCAAATAAACAAATACTCACATGAGATGGGATGAATAGACCATCATAGTGTTACAGAAGTTTATGTTGCCAAATGAGTTTTCACCAAACTCAGAACAGGGTTGGCTTCTCAGAGTGTGGATTTCTGATGGTAACATGGGAAAGGGAACCTGTGGTCATTCAGAACTTTCCTTATGACACTTAAGGAAAGTATACTTACTTCCATGGTATGATAAGTGCAAACTGTGCATATCCTGGAGCTTAAAAAAAAATTCCAAACAACTCCAGGGTCTGTGTACTCACCTCTGCATATTCATGGAACGGAGAAATGCCAAGTGCCTTCCAGTAGGATTTGGTGTCTAATTCCACCCTGTAGAGCCCTTCTACAAACTTTTCGTCTGTTGTGAGCCCATGTAGCTCTCCGTTTTCACCGGTCTTCCTATAAGGTACATAAATCTAGGTTAAGTTAGGCATGAAGGGAGTAAATGGCCCAGCAAAGTGGTACCACACACATATGTGTGTGTATGTATGTATTTGTGTGTGATATATACACATATGTATGTGTGATATTATATATATATATATATATATATATA